GTGATGTCGATTGTTGAATGTTGGATGGTCGCATGAATGGAGGGAGGGAAGGAGGGAGGGATGACTGGGTGAGTGGATGACTCAGGTACCACCATTATTTTCACTTTACAGAACGGCAAACTGAGGCACAGAGAGGTTAAGAGATGGCCTGTGAAGGGGACTATTGGGTGTCCCAAGGCCAGAGCTACCGCTGCACTTTCTGCTTGGCTGCTTCTTCTAAACAACCCAAGGGATACCGTAAATCTACCCAAAGCAGGTTAACCATCTTCAAACTGAAACTAGGCCTGAAACTTCAAACTGATTCCGAGGTCACCTTTGACTACCATGGTGCCTTGGTGCGGTTGTGCAGAATGCCTACGTCTGGGGCTGCGACCCTGGAGGTCCGACTCTGCTACCTGAGGCATCATGGGCGCATCCAACCCCAGGCAAGCTCGGGGGATGGGGGGAGGCCTGAGAGTCCAGATCTTTATCCTGACACAACCGGGCAGCTTCCCTGGGGAATCAGAGCAAACATCCGGGGCACTCTTTGGTGACAGTGGGTAGCAGTGCATGTCAGGCGGTCTGGGGACAGAGAAGAGGCGGCGAGGTTGGCAGTGATGGAGAAGGACCAGGCTGGACACTGGAGAGCTCTGGGTGTGAGGCCACACTCTGCTTCTTATAAACCATGTGACCTCGGCCCTGTGACGGACCACTCTGACCCTCTGTTTCTTCATCTTGAGCATAGGCGTGGTGATATAAAGCCCTCAGGGCTAGAGTGAGGGTTAAATTAAGTGAGATGGTAGCTGGAAACTTATCTAAGGCAGTGCTTGGCTCTAGAGAGGTCACAACAGGGAGAATTGGACAAGGAAGAATAAACCAGGGGTTTGAGGTGCAGAGAAAACAATTGTGTCTACAGTCTCACTGGGAGGCCACACAGAATATTTAGGTACAACTACTCCATGCAAAACACAATGCTGAGGGCTTGGGTGCTGTGTATATCTGAGAAGTGCATCAATGGACCCCCACCATTGGGCTGGTACATGGTCTCTGCCCTCACACTGCCTGAGTGCCGGTCATAGCTCCCTAATTCCAAGGACTGTGGCTATGAGCTCTTTCTGGAACATCTCTGGGCCTCAGTTTTCCTCATCTGTAAAATGGCAGTGATAATGTTACCCAGTGACCATTATCTAATGTAGGGTGCTTGCATTTCCAGCAAGGAGGGAATGGATTCTGACCCATCGATGTCAGGGCTGGTGTTTGGGCAGCTACGGCCCCAAGGTGACAGCCGGCTTGGGTTTGCTAATGGAGAGTTTGCCCAGCGGTGCCTTTGGGCATGGGTTCTCAGAAGCCGTAGAAATCTCCCCACCTCCCAGTCCCTGGGATGTTTTATTTTATTGTTTGCTTTGGCTCTCTCTCGTTATTTGGCCACTTTAGGTTTTCATGATGCATTATATTTAGCCATAAGGACTCTTGTAGGAACCATAGAACAAAGTCTCCCTCTAGGATGTTGCCTGATTTATTGGAAAGGAAGGGACATGCCTCACGCTGCCAAACGTTTCCTCTGGCTTCCTTCCTCATTTGGCACTTAGCCCCGGAGCCTGGAACTCAGACAGGAGAGGCTCTGTGCCGTCCCACCTGCCTCTTTCTCTTCCCAAGACCTGTTCCTGCTCCGATCTGGGGGGAGCCTACTCTGCCTCCTGGAAGGAGACATGCTGGAGGAGACGACTGTCGTCCATTCACCTTGGACGGCTTCTCCGCCAGCCAGACCCACTTCATCGTCATCCCCAGAAGCCGCAGAAGGAAAAGCACTTGCACCCGGAAGTTGGCACTTCCCCATGGGTTTTCCCAGGCTGACCAGTGTCCTGTACCATTCTCTGCTCGGCTCCAAGCTGGGCACCTGACCCAACCAGAGCCGGTTTCTGTTCTCTGTTGTCGTTACCTTAAGCAGCTTACCGGTGTCCTTCCTTGGGGTCCATTCCTCTCTCTGGGCACCTGCCCAGCCACTTATCTGCCTGCCCTCAAACTTACCTGATCTACTTATCCACCTACCAATATCTACTTATCAACCCATCATCTTTTTTTTTTTTTAAAGATTTTATTTATTTATTTGACAGACAGAGATCACAAATAGTCAGAGAGGCAGGCAGGGAGAGAGGAGGAAGCAGGCTCTCTGAGGAGCAGAGAGCCTGATGTGGGGCTCGATCTCAGGATCCTGGGATCACGACCTGAGCGGAAGGCAGAGGCTTTAACCCACTGAACCACCCAGGCGCCCCTCAACCCATCATCTTATATGTTTTCCACTTACACACATTTACCAATCAATCTATCTAACCAATTGTAGTTTTACGTATCAATTTATCTACCTGCCTCCCTACCAACTCATTTGCTCCTGTCTTCACTGACTTCTAGGTCTGCGTTCTTACGCACCTTCCTATGGGCCTCATTTGGATACATACCAGTTTTATTGTATCTAGTCACCTACATCTCTACTCACCTCATTCCCTTCCTTCCTTACACTTCTTCCCTCCTCCTTAATCATTGTCTTAGCCCCCACTAGGGATCACGGTGGTCACCCAAAAGCATCAGAAAAGGTAGTTACAACCTAGGGAAGAGGGGCCCTTCACCATTGGGAACCTGAGCCTGCCTTGATCGTGCTAATCCAAACTTGGGTTCTTTCATTCAAAAAATCTTGGAGTAGTGTGACTTTTAAGGAAGAAAAGAAATCACTGGGCCCCAGACAGTAGCAACCTCATGATCTAATCTAAGGCAGCACAGTCTCTACTTCTGAAATGGGAAGTTCACCCATGCATTGCCAAGTACAAGGCAACAAGTTTTCTAAAAATGAGTAAAGCCCAAGATTGATGTTATGTGGCAGGGTGCTGGAAGCCAGAACTCAGGCCTCGAAGGACGGCGGCTAAAGTAGAGCCCGACGGGGAGAAGGCAGGAGCTCAGCCTGGCACGAGCAGAGGTACCCACCTAGGGTGAGCTGGTCTCTCTGGGGACACCGCAGCCAGGGATGACAAGCGTACTCAGAAGAGAAGTTTCCCCCACGTCCTTCCCTTGGGACTTCACAGAGGACCCCACCTGGCAACTTGCTCAATGCTTCTCCGGGTAACCAGTGGTTTGTCCTGCTGGATGCTGACTGCAGGCAAAGAAATTCACATGCTCAGCGCAAGGCTGGCTTGAGGAGCCACCGAGAGGGCTTCCTAATCAGGAGGGAATTGATTGTATTCAAAGCAGCCCCGGGCTGGCTTGGGAGAATGATCACCATCTCGGAGGGAGGGAGGGAGTTTCGAAGAGGACCACCAACAGGAGGAAGGATGTTTTCATAGAGGCAAATCCGGGGCTCAGCTCAGCCCCTCTGCTCTGCTCCTTGCCCTGCCCATGCAGGAGGCTTGGCATTCTAGTTCTGCTATAATGCTAGCCTGCCCAGTCTTCATCTCTTTGTTTCCGCTGCCCCTGCTGAAATTCAGACCCCATCAGCTCCTAGCTGGGCACCCCAATGGCTCCTCCTCGGTGTCTCTATGGGGTGGGGGGGCCCTCCTTGTGCTAATCCACAGCTTCTGGCATCCGCCAAACACGCAGCCTTGTACATGTCAGCACCCAGCTCAGAGACCTGTTTGACACATACATGGTCAGGTTTGGTTCTTGAGTATGGGGTCTGGGGGCGGCAGGGGGGTGGGGGTCAGTGAGGATGTGGGAAGACCAGGTGGCAAAGATGAGGTCAGACCTAGTGAGAGATGATGGCACCCAGGCAGGTGCACCCTGGTCTGAGTCACTCTCATTGCCAACTCTGCCCTGCCATGAACCTGATTCAGAACTACCTCGGTCGTGGCCTTCAGAACTGGCTGCCTCTGAGGACAGCAAGGGTCACTCATAAGGGGCCTTGAGACTAGTGAGCGGGCAGGTGCCTCTCCCTTGGCACCAGGTCATGGGAAGGTGAGATTTCTTAAATTTTCCTGTCTTGTTGTATTAGCCTCACAAGGCAAGACTGTGTTTCAAATTGACTATCAGCATTTCCCATGTGTCTGCCTACTTCCTCCCTGGGCCTTCTAAAAGCAGGGACTGTTTCAAAATAACCACGTTACAAAGATAGGCATCATTATCTTTATTTCGTAGGTGGGGAAACCGAGGCCCACACAAGGGAAGTGAGGGGTCCAAGGTCATGCACCTGCTATTAACAGCAGGGGTTTGATGCCAGCTCCTCAGACTCCCAACCCAGTGCTCTTTCAGTAAAAATGAAGGAAGGAGGACCTCGTCATTGCTTCCCAAACTTCATTCATCCCAGGTCAGCTTACAACTTCCGTACTATTATTTACTCGACAGGTGTTTTTTCAAAACACTCACATTTTTTTTAAAAAAATTCAACTTTATTTTCCAAGGAAGTTTATGCCCACCAAAAGTGAAAGGTATGCCACGCACTGAAGTGCACTGTGAAACGGGAAGGCGGGGCAGTGTTTACACAAGACAAATCAAATGCTGTTGTCTGGCTGAAGGCTGGTAACTAGGGATGGCTTTCTGGGAAACAGGGATGTACCCTGCATTCCAAGAGGTGTTAAAGACCTATTAGCTTGACAAACACTTTCCCCCAGATGCCATCAGGAGCATGGGTAGAGACCTGCAGAGGCACTAACTTTCTCCCTGTGGGTCACCCCAAACCATCTGGCTGTAAGTAGACCGCATCTGGGATAACATTGTTTTATGTGGCATTCAACATTCTGGTCCAATGTCTTGGAATAAAAATCACAACTGGGCCATACGTGATCACCGGGGCAATTCCGGGCAGTTTGGTGTGGGAGGAAAATGGAATCTTGGAAACCTGCTGGACCCCAGCTGGGGGGCCCAGCTTGTTTTGAGGTATCTGGGGGGCTCTGATCCCGGCCCCGTAGTGCAGAAGATGGCAGGAATTGGCAGCTGGTACCAGTGAGGCTCCACTGGGGTCACCATGATTTCAGAATGTCATTTTGTCAAAGGTTGGCCCCTCTAGAAGAGACAACTCTCTGTCTTCTGTGGTTACCCTGTTTGGTCCACAACAAGGAACTGAAATTACCATAAGAGGTACGGGGAGGGTTTAAGGGAGTGTGGGCAAATTAGAGAGTTTTAGACAGAGAAATGCAACAGCTTGACTCCACTTCACGGAGAGGGGAGTTGTCTGTTGGTCCCTTGCTTGCTTCCTTTGCATGCTGGCTTAGTCTTGGTGGGCTCCTGACTTGTATAGGTGGATAAGCTGGAGATGAAGCTGTCTGCTCCTGAGCTAGGCATTCAGAGGCATCGTTGGACAGGCTGAGGGCCCCAGGGGGAGCTGCCAGACTCCCAAAGCCGCTGCCCCACGGGGTCTCCCACACCATGCGTTGCTTGGTTCCACGCCCTGCGGGGTCCTACCTGCCAGAGCCCCAAGGTAAAAGTGGGGGTGAAGGAAGTCCGGGTCTGAGAAGGCTTCTTGATTTAGGGTAAGGTCTCCACTGGCCCCACCATCTCTGAACTGGGGGGTGGGGGCAGAGAGAGGGGTCCTTGTCCTATCTGGGCTGTTGGGAAAAGTGAGGTGGTTGATTATTTCCTTCCACTTGAGGGACATTCAGATTGGCCCAGGTGAGAGCACTTTATCAGCGCTGAAGGGTTCTAGAGGGCCAACTTGCAGGAGGCGTGTCGTTCGCGCTCAGTGTTGATGGCTCAGCTCAGCCAACCACAGGTCTTCTCTCTACCAGGTAAACACAGAGGGGTGCCCTTGAAGGACAGGATCCCTGCCAGCCCTCACCCCATTCCCCCAGAAGAAGCAGGAAAATCAAAGCTGGAGTCCTGGGTGTAGCTGCTGAGCCCCAGCCGGCTGGACAGATGCTCGCCTCTCCCCAGTTTCTGAATTCTGTTTGGGGGGAGAAGTGGGGGCAAGGAGACGGATGGCCCCGGCTCTGAAGTCAACGCGGTGGGTTTGAATCCTAGCTGCTTGCTGGCTGGGTGGGATGTGATGCAGAATATGTCCCCAACCGTCTTTGAGGCTCTCTTCCTGGGCTGTTAAAAACTCTATGACAGGATAATGGTGAGGAACCAAAGTCCAGCACACTGCTGGGCACACTGTAGGAACCAAATATCATCATAGAAACCCAGCATTGCTGGTGTCGCTGTGTAGTGCATTTTGGAGGGATGAGACTCCTGTCCTCAGACACCGGTGAGATGTCTTCCTCTGGACCCACGCGTTGATGGCATGTCTGCCAGCTCTGCTGGATAGAGCTTGTGAGGAGCTTTGATGGGGAAGGAGAGGTCAGGAGTGACCTCGACCCACCCCTTCAATTCCAGACAGGAACTCCAAGCCTGGGAAGGGAAGTGCCCTCCCCACAGTCTCATGGTGGGTGGCGCTGGGGTCCAGGACCTCCGGAAGAGGAAAAGGCAGGAGGAATGTAGTCCTAGGGATGTGGTGATGGCTTGCCAAGGCTGAATTTCCAGCCCACAAAGGTCCCGGAGGCATTTTCTCTTGCCTCTGGAGGGCATTTGGCTGCCCAGGAGGGCATGGCTCACTGAGCAAGTCTCTGGGTCCGCGTTGCCTGTAAGGGTGGTTTGCCACCTTCATAGCTGGGCTGAGCTAGAGAGATATGGAGGCCACCCCAAAGCCAGCGTGAGCAGCCCACAAGTCAGTGCTTGCAAATGGCATGCCCCCGGGCATGCTGGCTCCCCAGAAGCAGGGGACTGGCCATTTCCAGGAGCTGATGGACGCTCCGGAAGTGCCCATGAGTGTTGGGATGTGAGCTGGGTGCTTGGGAGAAAGCACGTGGTGGGTGCAGCAAGCCTGCTTACTCCCCAGCTTGGCCCAAATCCCAGCGCTGAGAGAAAGTGAAAGAGAAAAAGGACGCCTGTAGGGGGGTGAGGTGGGGTGGCTGGCCAACAGACCCGCCCCAGTCTCGTGGCAGCCCCAGAACGGGCAGGAAGGAGAGGCCACTGGGAGCACGCGGGACTCCGGGGAGCGGCGGTAGGTGACCAGGGCTCCCCACCCTGCACCCCTGAAAGTCTGCTGGGCAATCGAGCTCAGAGGCTGGCAGCTGCTTTCTTGAGGTCACACAGGAAAGCTGGGAGGAAGGGAAACAGCGCGTGCGGAGTGTAGACCCGGGAAAGTCCGCGTTTGCAGCATCCCTAGCCTGGAACACAGGGACCACGCGGCACGGAGTCGGACCGCGGCGCAGGGTCGCGGGGCCCAGAGTGCGGGGCGAGGGGAGGCCGGCGGGAGGCAGAGGGCTGCTGGCACTTCAGGGGCGCGGGAGGAGCGTGCGGAGCGGAGCGCAGCGCGGGAGCCAAACCCAGGACTCACACACCCTCTGTGCCTCCTAGAGTCTGGAGAGCCGCTGTGGGGTGCGCCTTAGAGAGGAACACACAGGTCCCTCTATGGGGACTCTGGTCTCTGGCCGCCCTTCTCTGAGCCTGTTTTCCAGTTGGACCATAGCACCACTCTGACCCAGCAGTGCAGGTTTCTGGCCCTTGGGTGGGGGGTGCTTTGCAGAAAAGCTTATGGGGGGGGCACCAACATTTAGTGGGCGCCCTGGGGAAATCCTCACATCTCTCCCCCTGGGAGGCTAACCTGAAAAAGAGCAAAGACCTTGATTTGGGTTCTCAGAATTGCAATTCAAGGAGCGCAGGAAAGCATCTTGCTCCGTGTGGGGAAAGCCGGGGGTTTTTATGAGAAAGGGGGAGCGGGTGATGACATGATTTAGGTGAAGAAGAGCAGAGAAGAAAAGGCCTGCTAATGTGGTGCTGACTGGTTGAGTCCCTTCTGTTGATTATCTTATTGTTTTGTTGGTGCTATCGAACGAAACCGACCCTTGGAGGTACGGACTCTCCTGTCTCCTGAGCAGCTGCTTGTAAAACAATTGTAAAAGCAATTGCCAGTTCAAGAATTCATTAGTTAGAAAGGAAAATGGAACTTTAAAACGGAGTCTCTTATGGGTTTTTTTATTTTATACAATTCCAAGCCTCTCTTCGATCATCTGGGGTGGGGGTGGGGCGCAGCTTTCTGGGATGGCTTTGACAGGGCTGACATCTCCACCTCCCTTTGGGGTCCTGAGCCCCGTCTTCCAAGGAGAGAAACCAAGGAACCCCAGAAACAGGTGGTGGGGGTAGATCTCTGGGGACGCAGAATGCCAGAATTGGAACTGCCATGTCTAGCTCCGCCTTAAAGCCCACAGCTCTCTTCTGAGTCCCACGTCTTCCCCCCATCCAAGGTGTCACAGAGCAGGAGATAGACGCCCAGCTGTCCCCAGCGTCCCACTTACAATTGCAGCCAGACGTTCCTAACTTTGGCAAGGCGCTCTCCATCCATGAAACCCCCCTTCCCACCAACCCAGAAAAGAAACACTCCCAGCCAATCAGAAGGTTAAGGAAATTGGTGCTTCTTTGCTTTAGGGCCTGGTGGAGCTGAGACGGGGAGGGAGAGAGACCTCAGAAAATCATCACCTTCCAAACTCCAGGCTGCCTTAGGTAAGGACCTGGTCTCCAAAATCCCAGGATGTACAAGAAAGATCCTCGGAGAGAACAGATGCAGGGGGTCCCAGGCTTCCGGTACAAGGGAGTCGCCTGTTTGGCATGAGGGCTCCTGGTCCCGCCCCTGGGCCCTGCCTGGGCTAAACCATTTATCTGGTGATTCCTATGCCAGAGGCCCAGAGGTTATAAACATGCAGTGAAAGGCATTGATGTGGTCCAAACCCTGTTCTCTCACCATGTTACAAAACCTCCAGGGACTTCCCCAGGAGATTTGGTAACTAAGGTCACATAGTCAAGCTGTTGGTAGGGTCAAGATTTGAGTCCAAGTCTGTGGAGAGCCCAGTTCAGGGCCTGGACAGAGGCATGAGCCCCATATGCAGGGCAGGTCCTGCGTAGGCAGAGTCATCTGGATACAGTCTCCTGTCTGATGGCCAGGACCTGGTCCTACCTCTTGAGACCTCAGCCCCTGGTCCCTTGTGAAGAGTAGTCAGGAAATTAGCAAAGGGACTCAACAGCATGGCCCGGGGTCAATCCCAGGCAATCAGAGAAGTGGCCTGAGGAAGAGAGGGAAGCTTCTGGACTTGGCTTTCAGACTCGCCATCAGTCACCCCGGATAAATGACTTCCGTCTCCGAGGTACATCTATAAGATGGCTAGTCTGGAAGCCCTTGGGCAAAGTCACCAAAAATACACCTGTGACAGGAGTAAGCATTATAGCTCCTGGAGGGATTGTATGGAAAGATCTGGGGGAGGGGGGGAGTTGTGCCCGGAAGGGAGGTTTCTAGACTTTGACAAGTACCTGATGGGTGGTCCCCAGACAGTTCTCAAAGAGGTGTTAATTGACCCCGAGTCTCCTGGAGAGGAATAGATCCCTTGCTTTTCTGATTCTTTCTCTAGCCGCCTTCCCCATTTTTGTGGGGAGACATCTTTGACCACACTCACACTGGCTGGTGCTACTTTTTAACAGAGTGGTAGGCAGCTGACCTTATTGTGACAACATTGTTTTGTTTTTAGTGGCAAGTGATGCTGGGTTTTTTCCCCACCATGGGAGGGAGTGATAGAAAGTTTCCTTTTTTTTTTTTTTAATAATGATAATATGAAATTTACCAACAAACCCATTTTAAGTATACAACTGAGCTGTGATAAATACATTCCTACTGCTCTACAACCACCATCCCTCTCCAGAACCTTTTCATTGCCCCAAACTGAAACTTGGTCCCCAGGACCCACGAACTCCCCATTCTGGCTCCCTCCCCCTGCCACCACTTTTTGCTGTTCTGTCTCTGGAGTTGACCACTCGAGGTGCCTTGTGTAAGTGGAATGCTGTAGAATTTGTCCTTTTGTGACTGGCTTCTTTCATTGAGTGTGATGTTTCTGAGGCTTCTCCTTGTTGTAGCAGGTGTTGCCATGTCCTTCTTTTTTATGGCTCAGTAATATTCCAATACACAGGATTCCAGTGTACAGAATGGTGTTTCTTTTCTTTTTTAAGATTTTATTTATTTATTTGACAGAGAGAGATCACAAGTAGACAGAGAGGCAGACAGAGAGAGAGGGAGAAGCAGGCGTCCCACCGAGCAGAGAGCCCGATGCGGGGCTCGATCCCAGGACTCTGAGATCATGACCTGAGCCGAAGGCAGAGGCTTTAACCCACTGAGCCACCCAGGCGCCCCCAGAATGGTGTTTCTGCATTCATCTGTTGATGGACACTTGAGTTGTTTATGCCTATTGTCTGTTACAAAGAGTGTGCTACGAACATCTGTGTACCGGTGTGTGTTTGATCGCCTGCTTTCAATTCTGGTGGGTCTTCTTTTAACATAAATACATTTGTTTCTTTAAATAGTCAAGTCAAGGACAATATAAATTATGGCAAATTATGGAATAGGTGGTAGGCAGATCTGACCCAAAAGTTGTAAAGGGGACAGATGAACACCTGAAGTTT